AAACTGCCGATGAAAGATTTAATCTTAACAAAAAAAATTTTAATTAACTAAAAAAAACTAGTAATTTTTTTTTAAATTAAACGACTTATCGTAAGACCGTAATATTTTAGTGTGTTCTATATATTGTAGTGTGACCATGATATAAATCGCCAAAATAATTAAATAATAAGAAATCGGCTGATTTTTATTGAAAATAAATTGTAAATAAAGTTTTTGAAGTTTTAAAATCTACTCAGAATTATTGGTTAAGTTATTACTTTTCTGCTATCAACAAAGAAACGACTGGCTGATCCCCATGCAAAATTTACATACACTAATCCTTATCAAGTTAAATAGCTTTTAAATTTTTGAAATCACTCCAGATGTTCTTGAGAAAACGTCGACAAAAAGTCAAATATCTGTTCACACATACACATACACCTACTTTTTCCAAATTTGGTCTCATTCGATTCGGAATGACTTCAAACGTCCAAAAGAAAACAAAGTTAGCAAATCGGATTTTTTGGCGAAACAAACTTCGGAAATTAATAAAATCAATTGCAATATTAGGCATAAATTTAATATTAGGCTCATTACTAGTAATGAGTAAGAATTAAAATAAATATTTAAACAAACTCATTGTCTGGTGCAAGATATCTCAATAAATAATAAATATGAAGTTTCTTATCAAAATCTTGAGAATAACATTGTTATGCTTATTTTGATCATAAATAAAATAATGCAACAAAAATTTGATATGTTTTGTAAAACAAGTGTTTACTTGTGAAGAAAGACCAAGAAACTTTGGTTGGAGTGCGGACTATCTTAAAGTTAATATTGAAAGCTAAAACTTTCAGAGAATTTTTTATATCTATTCGGAATCGTTTAGTAGCAAAAAAAATTCGAAAAAATCCATATTAAAGACCACCCTGATATATAAATTACAACAATTGCATTTCCCTTTAAGTTTAATCCAAATATTTGTTTTCTCATTTTCTTTACCATTAGTGCAAGTTTCTTATAAAAATATATATTTTTTTTTAATATTTGAGAACCGTAATTAATTATCGGTCTTTTGCGAATATGTATTAGTCATAACCACACGTCCATATCAAATTTCAGGTAAAAGTTGGCAAATACGCAAATGGGTCTACTACTTCCTTTTATAAGTACATAAAGTTCGAAGCTTTATCATTATTATTATTCATTCATGATATCAAGACCAGACCCAAGATATTTCAAACTGTCCTGTATAAATATATCAAACTGTCCTGTATAAATATATCAAACTGTCCTGTATAAAAAAATATCAAACTGTACAAAATGTCCTGTATAAATATTTCAAACTGTCCTGTATAAATATTTCAAACTGTACAAATGTCCTGTATAAATATTTCGAACTGTCCTGTAAAATATTCAAAGTGTGCAAATGTCCTGTATAAATTTCAAAGTGTGCAAATGTCCTGTATAAATATTTCAAAGTGTGCAAATGTCCTGTATAATATTTCAAACTGTCCTGTATAAATATTTCAAACTGTACAAATGTCCTGTATAAATATTTCGAACTGTCCTGATAAATATTTCAAAGTGTGCAAATGTCCTGTATAAATATTTCAAAGTGTGCAAATGTCCTGTATAAAATATTTCAAAGTATGCAAATGTCCTGTATAAATATTCAAACTGTCCTGTATAAATATATCAAAACTGTCTGTATAAATAATCAAACTGTCCTGTATAAATATATCAAACTGTACAAATGTCCTGTATAAATATTTCAAACTGTCCTGTATAAATATTTCAAACTGTACAAATGTCCTGTATAAATATTTCGAACTGTCCTGTATAAATATTTCAAAGTGTGCAAATGTCCTGTATAAATATTTCAAAGTGTGCAAATGTC